ATGGGTGGGTGGGTGGAGGTTGGGTGGGTGGATGGGTAGGGTGGAGGTTGGGTGGGTGGGTGGATGGGTGGGTGGGTGGAGGTTGGGTGGGTGGATGGGTGGGTGGGTGGGTGGATGGGTGGGTGGATACCCGGAGTAAGGTGCTGTTTTCTTTGGAAGAGCATCACTCTGTATCCAAATGACTGTGCATCAGTCTCTAGTTCCATAATGCTTCACACTGGTAAGCCATCCTCCATCCATCTGATTCCCCCCAAGGTTACTAAACCCTCCTTAGTGGCTAAAGACTGGATGTTAGGTCACAAGAGTGGAACCTTCATGAATGATGTTAGTAGCCACAGAAGAAGCTGTCTATGAGCCAGGAAGTGTCCCTCCCTCATCCGACATTGAATAGAATCCTAGAGCCTCCATCTTAGATTTCTTTGTCTCCAGAAGACTAAGAAATAAATGTTTTTGTTTGCGTGTTTGTTTTAACATTTGTTGTTTTTAAACTACCTACTTTAGGACATTTTGTAGCAGCCTCAAATGGACTTATGCCTTCATTTACTGGACATAGATAGATAGATAGATAGATAGATAGATAGATAGATAGATAGATAGATATGTAGATATATATAGATAGATATAGATATATAGATATTTACTTATTTAAAAACTGAGTTAATGAGAGAGGAGAGACTGGGGCTATGTCTCTGAAAATGGAGTGAGTTTATTTTCTCTTTGGATCAATTGCAGTAGAATGCTTTCTACACCAGCTGAGGCACTTAGCACAGGTAACAACTCTCCAAGCTAAAGAGAATGGAACATATGGTGGATGGGAAAGTATCGCCGTCTCCTCAGCCTACTATTAATCCACCCAATTTCCTGCTGCAGCAGAATTTTTCCATTTGTGTCTCTCCTTTGGGGTCAGTCTACAGCAGCAGTATCCTCAGTTTCTGCTGGAAATTTCCCGGTTTGCAGCCCCATAGAGACAGGTTCTCTCCTGCTAGTTAATAAAACCGGTAGGCCAGCCAGCTTCCTTCTGGTTGCCACGGAAACCACCAGGCCACTGGCCCTCTGCAAACGGAAAAGAACAGCGAGTAAGAGACCACGAGACCACACATTCCACCCTGGCTCGCAGATTAAACCAGCTGTCAAGCCGGGGTGAAGGAGCAGAGGCCAGGGAAGAGCCCCGGGGCTGCGGACTGGACAGGCAAGGCCCTGCGGTGGAGCCGCAAGATGTAAGTAGCACCTCCGCTCTGCTTAAAAGTCCCGTCCCTGACTGCTCGCTCGACAGATGAGCCTGACACCTTCAGCCTTTCTGCCGCATGGCCGGGAGTTCCATGACTGTGGATGGCGGGGCCTCTGTCAGGGCAGCCTCCTCAGAACTTTCACTACCCCTGAATATGTGACTTAAGGGTGGGGTGCCACCAAACACCCTTTGGGCTTCCAGGCAACCGGATGGCTTTCTACTGTCCTCTGCCTTTAAAAGGAAATACTTTTTCAGGGTGTTAAGCAAAGAATGGAATGGTCTTCTCCTTTTGTCCCTAAATGGATAAGCCCCTGAACTTGTTTCTATTTAAAATGTTTGGCTGCTCTCTTCTGTTAATCTTTAAACCTAGTAATAATGAAATCAAGCAGATCCAGATCCCGTCTCTTCTCCATAGAGAATTGCAGAGAAAACCAAGGACTCTGAATTGGAATTGCCTATGATGCCTTGGGGCTTGGCTTTTCTCCTTCAGCGCTGTCTACAGCCCACTTTCAGGCCAAGGTTAATAGCACTCCTCAGAAAACACGAAATGAAAGAAGCAGTAAACTTGATAAATAAGCATTAAAAGGCAGATTGGATAGCTAACTTAAAAAACATTGATGCTCTTTATGCAAAAGTAGAAAAAGTGTGATAAATAATTAACAACTAAGACAAGATGAGTGTTTAAATAAAATTCCAGTAGTCCATATACACTCCTACATCAATTTATTGTTTTATAAACATGTCCTTGGGAAGATTTTAGTGAAAAGTATGTTAGCATATTTGAAGAGGAAAAGTGTTTCAAAAGCATTGTATGTGATATTTATGAAAAAAAAAAACCTCCTTATAAAATACTGCAAACTCAGACTTGAATTGTTTGCAAACTTGTTTTGATAGTTTTGTGTGTGTGTGAAAGGGGTGAATCTTGAGAAGTTACTAACGTTTTAGAATGAATAATGCAATATGTTTGGAGGGGAAACATTTTTTTCATTAATTCTTTTTTTCTGACAGAAATAGGACAGCTTCTGAGAATAATAGTTTCTGTAAAGTGTTTATGGAAATTAGTGCTTCTCAACAGTTAAGTCGTATTTTCCAACTTTCTTTTCCACACCAGTTTTTCATTGCTTAAAACTGGCGCATGATCAGCTCTGGGAATCCAGTGCCCAGTGGCTGGTGTCTGTGCCTTTAAGAGACAAGTAAGAGGTCACAGGGACAGACAGGAGTTAGTCTCAACTGCCTGGACGCTGTCCAGCCGGCAGCTGGGCAAAGTCATGGGTTCAGATGACAGTGAATAAATCACCTGAATGTATTTCAGGTTGCTCCAGGGAGAAACTTGAAGGCTTTGTTCATTGCCAGAGTCGCCGTGTTCAGAGGAAGAAGAGGTAACCTCCATTTTAGTCAGGAATTCCTGAGACTCACTGAGAATTCTTTGTACCACATTCTGTACCTGCATTAGCTGAAGCAGCACTTGGCTTCTCTTAGCTTCTTCTAACAATGAACTTGAACTTTTAAACTAATTTATATCAGTTTCTTTTTCAAAGACTTTCTGAGGTGTTTATATATAACAGAACACACTAATTCTTCTCATTTAGTATAAGATTTCCATAGACAGCTCCGTTAGAGGCCTTGTAGTCGAGCAACGTATCACAAGGTGTGGGACATCAGTGGAGTCTGCATTTCCACTGTGGCTCCTTCTGATGTAATTGGCTGTCTGGTTTAACGTCTAAGCCAGTACAAATGAGATCTGGGACCGGTGGCAAGTTATGCAGCCCCTCTATGCCTCCATCTTTTGGGGAGCTTTACCATCTGCTTGTATGGCTATTGCAAGTAGTCAATGGCCTCAAACATATCTGAAACAATATCTGGCACAAGATGCACCCAATCCTTGTTAGTATTACTAGGTAAAGTCAGGTGTGAGCCTGTGGTGCTAGCTGTGCCTGTGAAGGATCGCGTGGGCTCAGGAGTTCAAGACCAGCCACAGCAACATAGTGAGACTATTTTTTTAAATGTCTGTTTGTTTGTTTACTTATTATTCATACAGTGTTCTGCCTACATGTGCACCTGTAGGACAGAAGAGGGCACCAGATCTCACTATAGATGGTTGTGAGCCACCACGTGGTTCCTGGGACTTGAGCTCAGGACCTTTGCAAGAACAGTCAGTGCTCTTAACCTCTGAGCCATCTCTACCCCTTAGTGAGACTATTCTAAAATAAAAGTGAACTTTAGTAAATAAAAAAATATGGAGAATGCCTGGCCTGATTTCAGTTAGTTTTAATATGCTAGGAGACTCTCACTTTGTAAAGGACATTGTCGTTTATTGATGACCATTTTCTTTGTGGTTGGTGGTATTTTTTTTCTTCCTGCTGTGATTATTCATTTTTTGAGAATTTCTTAAAATATATTTTGATCATATTCGCCACCTTTCCAAATTCCTCCAGATACACCTCCTTCCTTACACACCCAACGCTGTGCCCTTTAAAATAGAGAAGTCCACTATCAAAGAATGCAATGAGGATGGAAAATCGGGTAGTAAAAAGGAGAAAAACTATAATTCTGAGAGATAGATACAAATATCTAGAAGCTAGGGACATGGAGAGATGGCTGAACAGTTAGAGGGCTCACTGCTCTGTAGAGAAGCTGGGCTTAGTTTCCAATCCCTACATGGCAGTCCACAACCACCTAAATCTAAAACCCTCTTCTGGCCCTCAGATGATCCTGCACACACATCATGCATATAAACTCACACAGGCAAACACACATGCACTTTAATGAAGTCAATAAATTATTTTTCAAAAACGTAGAAGATGGGCAGATAGGTAATATGTGGATAGCAGACAACTTTTGACACTGAACAGACTTAGCATGTTAGAAATTATTTTTTCATTTTCTAGACATGAAAATGTAGAGATCAATCACCTTGACTAAAATTATTCACTGCAAATTGAAGAACCAGTGTGCAGCTTACAGTGGCGCAGTACCTGTGCTCTCCCACTACAGCATGCTTTCTAGAAGAATCCGGTAATAAAGCTCTCTTATCCTTTGGGTCTTACCACAGAGAACAGCACTCCATAATCTACCTCCCTGGAACCAGAACCATCTGAAGAATATAAAATACACCTGCTAAAAGGAATATAAACATAGATGTAGGCTATAAACATCTTCCCATCCAGCTGCTTACTCACCCACCTATCCACTCATCCATCCATCCAATTACCCATCCATCCATCTATCCATTAACCCATCTATCCATCATCTTCTATCCTTCTATCTATTTTAAGAAGAGACAACCCTTCCAGACAGATTTATTGTTCACAACAGAAAAAATGGTTTTCCTTTAATATTCAAGTTAGAGTTATGGGTGTTTAAGTAAAAAAAAAAAAAAAAAAAAAAAACTCAATTTTTTAAATGCTATAAACATTATGTGTAATACCTTGATGGTGGATAAGTAGAATTCCAACCCCTGAATGACCTAGTATTTAAGGATTTGATATAGAAAGTTACATTGGGAACTGAGGCAACGTTAGGTCACCCTTCTTATCTCTGTGTCACCCTTGCAGAAGACTATAGGCTGTGGAGATCATTGGCGCCTGTGTTAGAGCACTCACAAGTCATAATACCACAGAACATTCCAGACTCTCTAAAAGTAAGTTACAAGTAGATTCAGTGTCCTTTGTTCTGCGATGGAAACATGGCCTTTCTTTGTATCTTGTATACTGACATTTTTCTAATCAGATAGAATATCTATTTTATAGATGTTCTTTAATTTGGGCCTGTGACAAAGTTGTATATTTGCCAGAGATCCCCAGCAGGTGAACTCCAGTATAGCATATTAAGAAACATCCAATGGGGTCTGCAAGATGGCTCCGCAGTTAAAGGCATTTGCTGCCGAGCTGGGTGACCTGGCTTCAATTCCTAGAACCACACGTGGGCAAGAGATGATTACTGGAACCCACAAGTTGTCCTCTGACCACCACATGTACACCATGACATGGTCTGCTTTCTCTCTCACACACACACAAACATACTAACATACATACACATTCACACATACACAAACACACACAAGGAATCACTGTAATACACAGGAAACAACAAAAAGGTAAGTGCAATCGGTGCTGTCCGTGGATTCTGTAATGTAAGTGCAATCGGTGCTGTCCGTGGATTCTGTAATGCACGTCTTCCACTGGAGCATGGTTGACAGACCAGAGGCTACACTGACCCTCCCTCCTCTCCCAGCAGTTATCAATGCCAATGGCTCCTCAGCTGAGAGTGGGACTTTGTGCCCATCTTCTCTCTCCATGCTGGGACTTTGTCTGACTTGAGCTTGCAAAGATCCTGTGCATACTGTCACAATCATTGTGAGTTCATCTGTGCAAGGCCCTGATATATGTAGAAAGCAGTTTCCCTGTAGTCATCCACGGCCTCTGGCCCCTCTTCTGCAATGATCTCTGAGCCATGGGAGGAGGGGTGTGACACAGATGTGACACAGATGTTCCATTTAGGGCTGAGCAGCACTCTGCAGTCTGTTATTTTCTACACTTTGACCAATCGTGGGCCATGTAGTATAAACAGCAGCTTTTCTGTTGAGGGCTGACCAAAGCAACAATCTGTGTGTTAGAAATCACTAGGCGTGTGTTTGATTCTGTGTGTATTTACAGAATGGTAGCAGGTTACCCTGGAGGCCCGTGGCCTATTCACTGGTAGTTCCCTGGCCCCAGGAACAGTGAGGGCCAGGACTTAAATTCGATCAGAAAGTAGTGGGTTATCCTCATGGTATCTGTGCCACTATTGTACTAGCAGCCATGTCTTGCCAGGCTGGGCATTACTGCAGGGTTCACAGTAGCTTTAGACTGATGGCTATTTTTCTCCTCTGCCTGTGCTACTAACTGAAGCTAACTGAAGCTCCAGATGAGTAGGTGCCATTTCTCCATGCTCTATGGCTCAGGCATATGGTGTCCTCAGCAGCACGGTCTTTCACAGTCTAGAGCAGTGGCTCTCAGCCTTCCTAATCCTGCAGCCCTTAATACAGTCCCTCATGTTGCGGTGACCGCAACCAGAAAATGATTTTGTTGCTTCTTCAGAACTGTAACTTTGCCATTGTTATGAACCATAACGTAAATATATGAGAGGCAGGATGTCTGATACTCTACCCCTCAGGAGGGTCAGGACCCACAGCTTGAAAATCACTGGTATAGAGAGTAAATCAATAGCAGTGTCACTAACATCATGTTTAGGGGTCCTTGGGACATCATTGGTTAACAACTCAAAAAGGAAGTAACTTATTCCTGCCACAGGGCTTTCATTTGTCAGCCTGTGATGTCAGCTTCGTCACTACAGGGTGCTCAACCCTTCATCCCTTCATACCCATTATGTATTTTAGCAAGTTTCCACATTCATAAGCCTTGTTTTGAAGGTGTTTCCATCTGGCTGTTTTCAGAGGGTCTGTAGTGTTATTTATCCCTCCTGGAATTCACTCCTCCCTCCTGCACTCCCATCCCCCTGCTCAAATTTAATCTTTCCTGTTCCATTATTTCCCCCTTAATCCTTTATATGACTTCATCCTATCCTATCTCCCATTGAAAGCACCCCACAGCTCCCTACTAATCTCCTCCTCTGTGTAAGTATTCTGAATGAAATACTCATATCTGAAGATTCAAAGCTAACAAAAAAAATATATATATATATATATATATACAAGGTTTGTCTTTCTGGGTCTATTCTGACTTTACTCAGAATAACTATTTCTAGATCCACCATTTACCTGTGATTTTCATAGTTTGTTTTTCTTAATCGCTGAATAATATTCCATTGCATAAGCGTGAAATATGTTCATTATCCACTCTCAGCTGCTAGACTCCCGGGATGACTCCATGTCATGGATGAGCATTTGTCTTTATAGTGGGACCTGGAGTCCGTTAGGGATATGCCGACCTGTGGTGCAGCTGGATCTGGTAGTAGATCCATTCTTGGCCCTTGCAGGCACCTCCACCCTGGCCTTCCTAGCTGCACAAGCACAGAAGCGTAGAAGTGTTCCTCACATCCTTTACAGCATTTGACCTGTTTTTTCTGATAGCAGTCATTTGACTGGGGTAAAATCTCAAAGTAATTTTAACTTTCATTTCCCTGATGGCTAAGAATGTTGAGCATTTTAAAAAATGTTTTTCAGCTATTTGTGTCTCATCTTTTGAGAGCTCTCTTGTTTAGTTTCATGCCTCAGTTTTGAATTAAGTTGTGTATTTTCTTGATGCTTAGCTTTTTTTTTGCCATCGTATTTATTTTATTACAAAAGTTTATTACAACGTACAGTAGGTTCTAGGATAACACTTCATTCTAGCTGTAGGTGGCAAATGCGCTATGGCAGGAATCCAGATGTTTAAACAGGAAGGGAAGAGGGTCACCATCACCTCAGATATGAGGAACAGCTGATTTTTTGCCAGATTTCTTAATTCCACCTGTGGTGAGTGGCCCTTCCCCGCAGGGTGGTTTTTAGCTCCTTGAGTTTCTTCTGCTCCTCGTTGTTTCTGCTTGAAAGCCTCATCTTCCTCGTCCATCTTCTTGGGCTGCTTCCAGAGCTTCTCTTTGCCACCTTCATGGCTGGACATGGCACTAACAGGCTCCTCACCAGTCCCTTAGCTTAGCTTTTTGTTCTCTGTATATCCCAGACACTAGCCTGTCGGATGTCCAGCTGGTGATGATTTTTCCATTTTTGTAGGCTGGCACTGCACTCAGACAATGGCGCTCTGTGTTCAGAAGCTTTTTAGTCTGGAGGCATCCCATGTATTGATCCCGGCGTCCTGTCCAGAAAAGCCTCTGCTTAGCCAACAGGGTCAAGCACATTCTCTGCTTTCTTCTCTATTGGATTCAGGGGGTTGGAGCTTATTTTGAAGCTTTTCACCCATTTGGATTTGGCTTTTATGCAGGCCGAGGAACAAGGATCTAATTTCATTCTTCATGTAGCTACCCAACTTAACCAGCAGCATTTATTGAAGGTGCTGTCTTTTCCCTCACTGTATTTTGGTGGCCTTTTGTAAAAAAAATGAATCAGGTATCTATAGGAACATGGGCCTATGTGTGGACCCTCAGTTCTATTCCGTTGATCAAATTGTCTGGTTCTATACCAACACCAAGCTATTTTTAATTACTGTAGCTCTGTAGTGTAGCTGGCAATCTGGGGTAGTAATAGCTCAAGTAGGTTTTTTTTTTTTATTGCTCAGGATATCCTAGATATTTTGCATTTCTATATAAAATTTAAGATTATTTTCAATTTCTGTGAGGATTTTTTGAGTTTTGATGGGAATTGTGTTGAATCTATAGACTGCTTTTGACAAGATGGCCATTATCACAAAATTATTCTCACCAACTTACAAGCATGGGAAAGATTGGGACAGAGGCATCTTTAGGGCCCACTATTCAGTTTGTCTATCATTGTGGTAGAAATAGGAAATCAGAACTTGTGTGTTTTGGAACTCGTGAGAGGGTTCAATGGTTAAAGGTGCTGCCAACAAGCCTAACCAAACTGAGTTCAATCCTCAGGGCCCACATGGTAGAAGGAAAGAACCAACCTTCCCAAGTTGGTCTCTGACTTCCACACACTCACTGTTGTAGGTGCGCACCCACAACCCCAACCCCATATACAAATAACTTAAGGTAATTTATATATATATTTTTTTTTCTGTTGACATCTGCACTCCTGAAATTCCTTTAACTATCTCACACACACCTGAATTAGTTGATACGGGTGTTGGACAATAAATTCCTCCAATTCCCAGGTTAGCTCACTATTCATTTCAGAACTCCCCATTTCCACAACTGGTTATAAATCTGATTTGACTTGCTACAGAAAAATATCAGGCAAAGAGGGAAGCTTTCCACTGAGTCTGTTTTCGAATCAAACTGTTGGTATAAGATGCAGCAAACGAGCCCGTTACTTTCAGCTTTGAAGTGGCTTCTGGGTATTATGTCTTGACAGGGCATGCTGGTACAGTCCTGCCACTGGGAAACTCTGGAAGCAGAACTTAGCAGTGTAATTAACCTATGCACAGTGGTAGTGGTGCTTATGCATAGGACGATGCATTTAGTTTGCTCTGGCTCCAATCCGTGTGGAAGGATTGTCATACAGCACTGCACTGAGAGCTAGGAACTCAGAACTATTCTCAGGCTGGCCCAACCACATACAGTAAGATGAACAAGAACGGTCACAAAGACATTTTAAATTGACTTCAATAATGACCCAAATTGTATGCTTGAAGCTAATTTTGCCAAAGTTTTAATATCTGAGACATATTTTTTTTAATTTCTGTTTTCTACACCAAGAAGTTTGTGAGATGATAGCAGAGGCTTTAATAAATCAGCCAAGATGCTGACCGCATCAAAGTGGTGGTGCACCTGAGCCCTGCCTTACTTGGACCTCTGTAAGCCGCAATCTTTGCCCACAGAGGGATGACTGCAGTGTCTGGCACTTGGAAAACCATGTGAAAATTCAGTGGCTCATCCTGTATGCTGTTGTGGAATGTGAAGAAGAAAAGTGCATTAGGAAAACATCAGGAGGAGATACACGTTCACAGAACTTTCAGCCTTAAGACCTTTGAAATAAGGACATCGTTTCCCTTTACTATCCTCTCACACTGTTTATCCCTCACCTGCCCCTGCAGTGTACTCCTGGAACACACCTGAAGAAAAGTGCTAAAAACTCAAGAGGTCTTTCAAGATCCTACACTAAGGCTTTGAGAGTGTCCATGGAGCCTCTTGCCCACTGCCGCATGAGCTTTCCCTGGGGAGACATGAACCAATGTCTACCCGCCCCAGGAGAGCACCAGTAACAGTCAGCACCATCCCACCTCAGGCCAGCTCTGCTCACCAGCGAGCCTGCTGGCCTTGCTCACAGACATCGTCGCAAAGACACAACTCTGATTTCAAACGGGTAAGAGTTTACTCTGGAGCCAAATATTAGTGACAATGGCCTGAGAACACAGATTTAGGTTACCCCAAATTCCATGTTCCAGTGTGGTAACAGTTTGATGAAGCTTTACAGCAACAAAACAGAGATGGTCATAAGTCAAGGCAGTTTTCAAATTCCTTGATGCAGACATTCAATCCTGGCGACAGCAAAGTGGGGAACTCTCTGCTACAGGCCTCAGATGCTATCTGCTGACATTCTTAGCATCTTGGTGGTGAAAATTAGTGGTCTCTTAACACATTCCAAAGGTTTTGTCTGCCAGTCACAGGATGTTAGGTCAGATGTGGACAAGAAATCTACTGAGGAGGCTGAAAATAGCCCAAGGTGAATTGTCATTGCACTCCAAGCCCACACACTCCAGGCTCTTCCCAGTCCCTGATGTGCTCCTAGCACACCTGGGTGCGCCTCACTGCAAGCGCGGTAGGCCGTGGTGAAGGAGCTCTCCGTGACCTTTCTAATCAGGTTAATCAGCCACATAGAGCACAGGCTCCTCGAAGTTCCATAGAGGGACAGAAGAGACAGCAAGGCATCACTGCAAACTTCCCCTCCAGCATGCAGAATGGTGCCAAAGCCGCACAGATGTAGTGTTCCCTTTAGTTAGCCTTCCACACTCTATACTCTAGCATCTCCCAAGACTGTTAGAGCTCAAGCAGCTCAGGCAGAACCGTATGCAGCTGGCCTGGAGGCGCAGGTGAGGTCTGATGCCCTTCCCACCCATTCCTTCAACGAAACAACATCAATGGGCCCAAACTTTAGGGGCTCATTGCTGCTTCTGGTGAGGCTGGAAATGGCTGCTCTGATGAGACAGCAGTTATCCAGCAGCATGTGACAGCATACTCAGCCTTTCTCCACAGCCCAGCAGAAAAGGGAGATGCATGGTTGTGGGCAAGCAGGAAACCAGCAGGCAGGTGAAGACTCATTTTGAGAGCCGAAGGGCAGCGTCTTCATCACACTCCCCATATGCTCCATCAGACCCTTGCTATTCCCCTAGTAGGGTCAAGGTGGGGTAAAGCATAAAGTGCACAAATATTGGGCACAAATATTTTAGTTTTACTTCCAACCAAAAGCTGGTACTAAACACTGCCTAAGGATGGATTTTCAGCATTGGGCACCTGGAAAGGATAGGGGAGGGATGCTTAAGAAATTAAGAAGCAGGAACAGCAAGGGGTCTTACTTGTTCATAGCAGCTTGTCAATAGCTGGTCCTCATTAGCAGCTTGGCTTACGTGCCCATTCAACAAACTTCCCAGAGTCTTCTGTCTCAGAGAATTGAGCTCTGCCCTTCTCTTAGCCACCTATAACCAGGACACATGGCTCTAGAAGTAGAGTTTCTAGTCAGGTTATGTTGAGATATTAAGAGTGAACAGGCCAGTGGCTTCCATTATTTCCATCTGGATTCCCTTGCTTCCCATACCACTGTTCCCTCTGAGGGATTCAGGTGGGTGAATCAGACACATGCCCACAGGAGGAAGGAACCTTGTCTTCAGCCCCTTCTCCTCAACCCTGCTCTCTTGGGTCTGTTCACCCCTCAGGAAATCCCAGGTATGAATAAATATAACTAGAGAGCCTGGAGCTAGGATTCAGAAAACAGAACCATGTAAACATTGGAAACACACACACACACACACACACACACACACACACACACACACACACGCACACACAGGCTTCCTAGGGACATAGCTCTTCCCTCGGTTCTGTCTTTACTGGAGCCTCAGCCACATTCTTCAAACACAGATCTCTCCTCTGCTACAAACCTTACTGGTCCACGTTCGCCTCTTCCAGAGATGCTCCTTCAAGGGTGTGGAGACTGAGGAAGGTGCACAGGCCACGCCAGAGGGGTACAGCTGAAGATATGAGACCTTTCATTTTCTTTTGTATCTCAAATTTTAAAAACTCTGTTCGTGTATTATTTACAATGCAGAAAATACATGTACAGTCTTCACAAATAAAGCATCATCTATTTGAGAAGAGTTTTCAAGTTGTTTTTTTTTTTTTACTGATGAAAGGATTTTAGACTAGTTTGGAGACCAAACTGCTGTGAGCGTAAAGCCTAAGTCTGTCAGCTTGGCCAGCAAGGGCCTGTCTAGACCTGCCCTGTGCATGCTCTCAGACCCCGACCCGGGACGTCTGATGTGCGCACTGAACACACCAAGCGCTTGAGTCGCTGTCCACACTGCATCCTCTCCTAACCCTTCATGCCTAAACTCCAAACAGTGTCTGCCTCCAATGCTTCACTGTGTCTTTAGCCAGTGTTGCCAAAGGCATCGTCTTCTCACTGGCCACTTGGTGGTTGCTTCCAAAAGTGTACTGTCCCTTGGGAAACTCCAAGAGCTGTGAAGGATGTGTGGTGTCTTCTCTGTTTCTGATTCCCATGATTTAGATGGTATTGTCATCAGCCTGGTATCAACTAAGCACCCGCTACACACTGACAAAACATTGTCTTTTGAGAAAAGAGGATCTAAGTTGTAAACATTAGCACCATCAATCAGTGCTGTGCCTGATCTGTTTATAAGATGGATACCTGTGCACAAACATCCAAACAGCATGGCTTACAGAATTTCCCTTGTGTCACAGCCCAGTGGCATTTAAGGAAGGTGTGCTCCTCTCCATACAGTCAGCCTGAGACTCAAGCTCTTCTTGGTAGTTTTGGTATCCAGGGTCTTCACAAAATTCTCTACTCTAGTCCATTGGTAGAAAGCCTATCACACAGCACTACACCAGTAAAGGAAACTTAGACATGGCATCAAGCGGTATGCCAAGTGGGGAGAGAAGACGTTGGAGTCCTGGTGGTCAGAGGATGTTTGTGATACACCTGGATCAGAAGGCAGATAAGTGGCTTTGTGGAGAGATAAGAAAAACTCAAATGTCAGCAGATGTGAAAATTTCCAGAAAAATGATAAAAACTCTGTCCACTCATGGGATCTGAGGCTTAAACCACTGAACAGATTTTAAAGCCAGAGGCACTGCTACGACTTAGTTAGCTAAAGAACTCTCAGTGGGGAGACAAGCTGTGTGAAGGCAAAGACTTAAGTAGGTATGGACATCAGTTGCTTCAACACAAATTCCAAGAGATTCTTTCTCAATAGGGTTACGCCAAACATTTAGGTCATGTTTATCCTTGGCTCCAAAAGGACGGTCTCAAACTGGATGAGTTATGTTTGTAAGAAGATAGTATTTGTAAGGAGATACTGTGTCTGAGACAGAAGAGCTTTTGGACCATGTACCCCAAACTTACTTGAAATGTCATAAATAATGATGTTTGAATTCTGTAAACTTAATGAAGAGGATAAAAATATGACTAGAGAAATGTGCCATTCTTCAAATCATTGAAGCAATTAAAAATCAAATGTGATTTAAAGTTTTAATTCAAGTGTATTTAATTTTAAATTAGAAGGGATTTTTTTAATTCAAAATTGGAAAAGCAATTAGAGAAATGATACCAGTAAAGAAAAGGGGGAAACACAAGACGTAGAGATTGATAAGGGCTTGAGTAAGAAGAAAATAGTTTTAGATTTAATCCTGAGCTGTGATATTGAAGGTAAGAGCAGAAAACAGGCAGGTGCCCCAAGAAACACATTTTGAAGCCAGTATTTGGGGAGATAGCAAAGGAGTCTATCACAAACGCAGCACCTCAAATGTTACCACAAAAATATTTGAAGATTCTGAGGTGGTGAAAATGAAGGGTCATTCAATAAAGAAGACACCAAATATATCCCATAAAGTCAGTATATCTCTTTGTTTTCTGTTACTATAATGAAATATCTGAGGCTGGGACGTTCATAAAGGGGGGGAAGGGTTTCTTTACCTTAAAGTTTTGAAGGATAAAATTACAAATAGCACTGCAACAGCTCTTGTATAAGGGCCCATGGCAACTGGCATCCTTGTGGAAGCATGTGGGAGAGATAAATTGTGGGGAGAAAGAACGCCAGAACTCATAGGTGGTCAGATTCATTCTTTTTTACCGGCCCTCTCACCAGAACCAATCAGAATCCTACAAGAAGTGCATGGATGTCTGGGATCAATGCCCTTGGTAGGCTTATGATCTCTCAGTTGGTTCTGCCTCTAAAAGGTCCTGTCATCTCTAACATCATCACACTGGAGACCCAGCCTCTGAAACATGCACTCTTAGAAACCACAGAATGGAGCATCCTGGCACACATTTTATCTGTGCTCGCTGAGAGCTTGAGGGAAAGGTGGTTGGTATACACAAGAGCTTTGAGGGCATATGGGGTCTTATCTTGCCTTTCTCTGATACTGCTCACTGCTTTCCCTCTGTGCACGTTCTAACCCCCATTCCCACCCCAGTCTACTGCCTTTCGAGTCCCTTGATCTACTCCTTGGCCCCAAGGCTAAATGGCTGACTCAGGGAGAAGATGCATTTTTGTCTGTGGGGAAACTGGGAGAAAAGTGAGGTGGGGGTTTATTATGGTTTTGAAGGCTAAAAATACAAATTCCTCTGAAGGTTGCTCAGCTGGGAGAAAACCTGTCTCTACCAAGATCATGAAGTCATGAGTTTGTCTGAGAATCCAGCCCACTGAGGAGGAGGAAGACTTAAGATATAAGGAGTTAGCCTGATAGCCTCTCTTTTTGAGCAGCAAGATCAAGACATGCTTAAAAATGGTTCCATGATTATTCTTCTCCTTATTATTATTATTTTCCTCAAGATGGTAGTCTGAACTGGCTTCCCATAGCTGACCTTTGCTGAGCTATGCTTTTCCATCAATCACTAGAACTGGTTGAGTCCTTGCTAGATGCAGAGTACCATGCTAGAAACAAAACACGAACAAGAGCCGCTCCATCAGGGAGAGGTTCCTCTCCCGCTGGAGATACCTTTAGCCAGTAATCACAGTAGATTGCCACAATTCCAGCCTCGACTATTTGCACACTGTATTAAGTCAGTGCCTAACTACACCAGGGCTTTGAAGGCGTCAAATAAGCTTCACTGGAGAGGTAATATTTGAGGAAAGGACTATTTTTTTTTTAATATTCTGAAGTATGCTATTCTTTTTGTTTGTTTTGGTTTGGTTTTTGAGACAGGGTTTCTCTGTGTAGCCTTGGCTGTCCTGGACTCACTTTGTAGAGCAGGCTGGCCTCAAATTCACAGAGATCTGACTGCCTCTGCCCTCCTGAGTCCTGGGATTATAGGTGTGTGCCACCACACTGGGCTAGCATGCTATTCTTAATATTGCATATATGTAATTCCATAAATCTAAGAAAAGTCATTTTAAACTAATATTTTCCTAATGTAATTATGCTGCTTATGTAAGTCATGGTATATATTAATTATATATAATGGGTTTATGACAGTCACTCACACACACATTTTTACATAGCTCCCTTGTCCCTTCCTATTCCCTAGGATTGTCCCTTTCTATTCCCTCAGATTCTGTTATCTTTTTTTTTTTTTTTTTCCCAGAGCTGAGGACCGAGCCCAGAGGCACTTTACCACTGAGCTAAATCGCCAATACTGTTCCCTCAGATTCTGAAGAGGAGGATATCTCTAAAGTGGGGGAAGTGAAAAAATACCCATACAATTAGGATAGAATGACAAGGATTTGGAAAAGCTAAGAGGACAGAGATGACTGAGACTGTGTGGCAGCGGGGGTGGCAGTGGGGAGCGCGCCCAGAGGTCCTGCTGGGCTGGAGCCCTCTAGCCCACCCTGGCAGGCCACACCCTTTTCTCAGTGTTCCACCTCTTTCTGTGCTCTATGCTAGAGTATTTGTCCCTCTGCCACAGTAAGACTCCCTCTTCCACTGCCATAAAATGTAGGCAGTGTAATTTATTTGTGCCCATTCTGTTTATAGCATAGGCACAAATCAGTGACCTGCAGTGAAGCCGGGGTGTTCGTGTCTGTTTAACAAGACTGTAAAAAGAAAATCATGGCAAACTGAAGGTGAGAAATGTCAAAATGGAATAATATGACCAGCAGGACCTTTGTCCCAACCTGTAGACACTTAGAGAAGCTTCCAGCTACTGGCAACTTCCGCATTCTGGCTTTTGGCCTCCCTGGTGTCCAGGGGCAGTGACTGAGTTCCCAGTCAGGGCCTTGACTACTGACAAGAGGCTCTCAAATCTCTTTGGAAAGTTCTGGTGTCCTTGATCTAGCAAACAACCATGTTTTCCCTTTCCTGCACCCCCTCTTTTTCCTGCCTCAAACAGTATCTGTACACGAAGAATGAGGCAGACATTTCCCCCCAGGTCGTGGCTGATGTGTGGATCACTCTTGCCATTCCTGGCCCCATCACTGTCTCTTTTAGGAAGGGGTTGGAGGGAGCCAGTGATATTCACTGTATTCCTAGTATAGTGAACACAAGGTTACTGGGATGTGGAGTCCCAGAAACCTGATAGAATCGGGGACAACTGATTGTCTAAAATTATCTTGTAGTTGATAAATTCCCTCCTGTTCTTTACAAAATGGGGCAGTCAGTCACCTATGCCTTCTAATGCAGTTTAAAATAAGCAAGCCTCTTGTTCAAGGAGCACACTGCTCCCTCTCCAAAGCTCTTTCTTTTCTTACAAAATATACCTGTTAATAAGCTCTTTAAGAGTCTCCTGTGACTGCTTCAAAATAAACATGATACTCTAAAATGCTCGCCCAGTCCTCCAATAAATTCAAGCCAACTCTCTGCTGTGGCTTTGTAACCATCTTTGTGTTCACAGAGCTATTCTCAGCTCAGCCCTGTTCATCTTCCATTGAGGATAAAGCATGGAAGGCAGCATGTAGCATTCTTCCGCCTGGCCTGGTCCAGGGCTTGGCACATAACACCTGCCTGACTCCTGGCCTTGCTGTTCCCCACTGTAGCTTTGGATCCTCTTATCTAGGTCTAGCTTGGCCTTGGGCTCTAGTGCCACAGCCAAGGAAGAGAATCATGTCTCCATTAGAACATAAGCTCCATGAAATCAGGATCCCAAAGGGGCCTGAAGTCTAGGCTGCATCTGCAGGGCTAGT